GAAATGGAGAGAATTGGAGGGAAAGAAAGCAAAGCAAAACAAGTGCGGCAACAGCAAAGACAAGTACAATGAAAATTCAACACCTGAAAAATGCAAACACTTAAAAGACGTCCCGCCAAACGACGTCAAGAAGCAAACTCGACGTGGACGGCGAGGACGAGGGCAATATCGATGTGCCAGCACTTCAGCGCCACTGATGAAGGCACAGAGGGGCGAGGGGAGCAAGAGGAAAGTGAAGAGTGAATAGTGGAGAAAGCAGAAAGCAGAAAGGATAAAGAAGAGATGAGAAGAAGAGGAGAAGAGGAGGCGGCTGCTCCTGAGCCTTGGTCTGAGCTCCGCTACAAAAACAGCAAGGACGTGCATTCATTCAAATCGACTACGGCTCGAGTCTTACCGTTGCGAAGCACAACGCATACAAAAGAAATTCATTTTAATGCACAGCCGGCAAAGGCGGCGCTGAGCCCGAGTCAAGTCGGAGGCAGGAAGCCATTGCCGGTGAGGTCGTCCTTCGGGGTCGGAATCGGTGTCGGTGTCGGAGTCAGAGTCGAAGCCGGGCCGGAGTCATAGTCAGTGTCGAGGTCTGCGTGCGCCTACACGCGGCAAATGCTTTATTCTTCGCGCTTGTTGAATTTAAGCGGCCAAAGCGCATTGCAACAGGAGCTGCGGGCGGGCAGCTGGCAGAGGGTGCAGCTCCAGCTAGACCTGTAACTGGCAACTGGAGCTGTGGGCGGCCAAGTGGCAAGTCAAGCCAAGTTGAGTCTATAATTTTTGTTGTGGTTCCTGTCTATTGTCTTACGCTGTCTCCTCCTCAAAGCCCGCTCCACCCGCCCCCTGCGTCGCATTCGCTTTTTTGCAACGTGGGCCGTTTCCCTTAAGCTAAATGGTAGACTAACTCCGACGCTTGCAATATTCAAAGTAGACATTAGCCTTCGCCTCTGCCACCGCTTGTGGTGCCAATGCCGATGTAAGCCTGACTCGCAGTTCTGAATTAAAAGAGACCACGCTGAATGCCTTTAAGGACGCACTTAACAGATTGGAACGCTTTTAAATATGCTTTGGGTATGCTTTGATATACCTTAGATTTGCCTAAAACATATTTTGAATATCGTAGCAGGATCTTCAAAATTCAACACACATATACATAGTTCAGTCTGCAGGTATATGTATGTTTAACACCCGATTACATTTAGTTATGGCATTACTAACAATAGTATTTTTGTTTTTTCATTTTCATTACATTATTTTGAATAAACATATTTTATGCCTCCCTAAAAATTCGAGTTTTGATTAAACAAAAAGAGGAAAATAACTCAACTGTCTAACGCCCTCCAGTGAAAACGGCTATATGCCGACTGAGGCTAAGCAAAAACTTGTTGAAGCCAAAAAGCTGGCTAATAGCTTATGTGTTGAGTAAAAGCTCCCGGAATCACACTCAAAACAAAAGCGCATGTGCCCAATCGTGGAAGGTGCTCAACATTTGTGGGTGGCGCCAATTTGTACTCAATTTTTTTTTTTTAACTTCTTGTTCGGACTGGCTGTCGTGTTTGCCACGCTTCCTTTGCTAATTGTCGTTCTGTGTGCAGCCTGGCTTCGGGCTGACTTTCGGGGCCATTCGTCTTGAGCCTTGCAAGAGAACTAACAAATCAGTACGCATCCGAAGCTCTTCTGATCATTCTCACCTACAAACCGACAGCCCGATAGAGACCAACATACAAGTCTTACGACTTAAACATTTGCTGCAAGCTGAACTGATATATACTTGTTAATATTAAATTGTTTATCTGTTGATTAGGCCAATCAGCCGTTTGTGTCTCATGAATTTCGGACATTGAATTCGTAAATTGTCAAATTGGTCCATTACTTCCGATTTAAATTCGCCCGCCAAACTTTTGCTTAGCCAAGACAAGAACCTTATGCTTGGTTGCATGTGTGCATACTGCTGAAATGTTGCTTATTGATATATCGATAACATTGACATCGATGCAGTTTTTTACATCCCTACGCCAAAACAAACAGCACGAAAAAAAAATACAACAAAAACAAAAGGCAACACAAACGGAACGCAAACCCGATAAACTGCGACGAAAACAACGAAATTCAAGAAAACAAATTCATAAATAAGATGGTAATTAGAAAAAAGCAGCAACTCTAGCTATCTGGTGTCCGTTCGTTAACCAAACGCCTATTGGACTTGACGCAATTATGCAAGTTGCAACTGCGGCAACAACTAACTGTACTTGGTGCTAAACCTGGGTGGGTTGCACCAATTCAGCCAGCACTGGGCGGCGACGCTCAGCGCTTGCAAATCGTTATAATCACACTAAACTCGGCAGCCGCAGAAGCAGCAGTGAGTAGAATATGTAATACGTTGATAGGAATTCAATAAATCGGTTTATATATTTTTATTCGCAGCAATGAATACCAAACATTCCGAACCATTCTATATATCCTCCAACCTGTTCGATAACAGGCGCCTTAGGCGCCGCATCAGCAAATGGATGGAACGACTGAGGGAACGTCAGCAGCTGTACATGAACCACTCGGCAGCCTCGAAGACTGATCGCAGCAAGCGCCGTTGCCATCTGATGCTATCGCGGCGTCACGTGGCCGCTGCACTACCTGCTGATATCACCATTGACCTACTCTCGGATGACGACGGCGACGAAGACGACATATCGCAGCCAACTGCACCAGTGCCGCTCGTTTTGGCCAATGGCCTCTTACGCCATGGGGCATCTGCCTCGCCTGCCAGTTTTCAGTTATCAAAAGTACCGAATATCACTTTAGTGCCGGTAGATTACGCGCCGGCGCAGAACTCGACTTCAATGCACCTGATGCCTGATGCTAGACGCTTGTTTCGCAAAAGCAAGCGCCCTGGAGGCGTTAAACCAAGCGCAGCAGTCACAGCCTCTGCGTTGAACGAGAGCATAGTCTTAACCAGTGATGACGAAGATGTCAAGCTGAACCATCACGGGCGTCAGCTGATGCGCTCACCGCCGCCCCTGGCTCCACTGACCTTTTCCGATACCATCGAGGAGGTAACCGTCTCGCTGGTTCCGCGTAGTTCAACCACAGCCAATTGCCAAGCACGTCAGCGACGGCGACAGCCATGTGAGTTGTCCTTCAACAGCAATCCCAGCCCCTGCAGCACACCAAGCATCGCGTCGCCAAGAAATCACTATGATGGTTTTTTGAGGGTCGATGTGCCCAACGAGGCGACGGCTGCGCTACCGGATGAGACAACCGTACATACGGTGATTGCAAATCGCATCTACGAGCTATCGCTGAGCAAGCTTCGAGAAGGACTTGCGAGTGGCGTGCCAGAATACGCGAATGATATGTTGCCGGAGCAACTTCAGAAACTTTCGCCTGCAATGCGTGCCAAGGTGGCGCCCATGGTGGCGCCATCGCCACCCGCGCCAATCTCTCTGAAGCTCTCGAGTGACCTAAGCATCTCCCTGATCTCCGATGACGACGATTGTGATAATGGAAATGCGGGTGCAGGCATGGGCGGATGTGGCGTGGGCAGAAGCGTCAACGATCTGCTACAGCCGGTGGTAGCGGCCGAGGCGCATGCGGCAGCCAAGTTGCTCAAGCAGCAGCAGCCACAGCTGTCTGTGGTGCAGCATCTACAGTATCCGGGCAATGGTTCACCCGTTGCTCTGCCTGTCATGGCACTTGCGGCTACGCCCCCATCTGTGCCAACGCCCTCGTCGACCAGACGTCGCAAACTAGGTTAAGGTTTATGGAACGCTACTGAATCATTCCCCGACCCACACGCTTTCATTTACACACACACATACAAATGTAGCGGTCCAGAATTATTATTTTATTAGCCTCTAGTGCAAATATATAAGTAATATACTACATATATATATACCATATAGCTCCTAACCGATTTCAGCTGCAGATAGCAGTGCGTCCCTTTCGGGCGCAAGCCCACCCCACATTCTCTCTCTCGTTTTTTCTCATGTACACATCGCCTTCTCACACGTCTATCTCTTTCTCATACTTTAAGCCAGTTGCTCGAAAAAAAAAAAACATAAAATCAATAACAAATTCAAATACTTATGCAAACGGGACACAACAAATTATACAAGCAACAATGTATAATGAAATATAAGAAAGCACACAGATTTATATATATATATATATATATATAAATATATATCTGAGGATTATACAACTGTTATCTGTACAACGGTCAACGTTAGGGCAGTTAAATATGTACATATTAAAATATCCATTTGTAATAATTGTGCATTGTTGTCTACATATATATACATAAGCGATGAACAGTAAGACAAAATACATTTTTATATGCAAACGAAACAATCACAAACACTTCGTCTTGTCTCTATACCTAAGGTCATATATAATAATCTAGAGAATGGTAAAGGATGCATGGGCTTTCTTCTTACATTTTATAGTTGTGCATCTCAAGTTTTTGTCTTCCATGGCAGTTGGACTCTATTCCATCTCTATGCTCAGGGATCTTAGGTCGACATCATTTATCTCTTAAGTGTTCTTCAGAGATGCCCTCATAGGCGGGGTGTGTTCACCAACTCAAGTTGCGTTTTTAAGGTCGGTAATGAAAACATAAGTTTTAAAAATTTGATTTCAAAAAAAGACTGCAAATGTACAAATGTACAAAAGTGTTGCCCGAAATGTTTACAAAATTTGTAAAAATTATTACAAATACGAAAAATAGGTAATTTACATTTTATTGCAATCTTTTTCATGTTGGATCGCCTTTCGAGCTCAATTACTATTTATAGAAATTAATTATAAATTATTGTTAAATTGTTATTGTTACTTCGTTTTGGGTTTGGCGGCTTTGGGGACTTTGATTTTGATGTGTAAATTGGCAGCACCAGTGCAGCAAGAGTCATCTGCAAATTGGCAGCACTGAAGCAACGATTGTCAACGCATGCGCCATGGGTGGGTATCCCGCGTAGCTTTTAGGGCGGAAACGCATTCTGATATACCAGAAATAATTTTGCTGTCGAGTGTTAAAACGTATCGAACGGGTTTTAAACGCGGTCAATAACGACGACAGCCACAAACGTGAGATGAGCTCAAGCATCAGCCAAATCTAACCGACAAGTGTAGAACTGTTTATTTATATATTTTTATATATTAATATATACTTATGCATATGAGAATACGTTGAACAACCGGCCATGGTAGTGCTCCAAAACTTTTTCAATAACTTAATTTTCACGTACATACGCACATTGATATGTATGTATATGCGTGTGCTTGTAGTCCACTCAATAGTCCTTATTTGTGTATAAACTATTTCAAAATTTCAGTGAATATGTGAATAGAAACTCGCGTCAAATGAACTTCAATCAAATGTAAATAAGAGCATTCGCATACATATGCATTTCTGTATACTAAAGGCGTCGCTTCTGCCGTATACCCATACATACATCTACACAGGGGCATACATACATTCGCATGCATATGTAAATACAGCTGTGAACGATGCCGAAATCTAATATAAATATACACTTATCATTATTGTATATTTATATACACATACATACATATGTACATATGTAAGTATATATCTACAAGTATGTACATACATATGAAACAAATTGAATGAAACACATTGAAAACAGTAATTCGGACATATGGATATGTATTTATGTGCATACATATGTATGTGTGTGTGTGTTTGTTTGCAGGTGCCGAACGAACAAAAGTATTCGTACTTATTCGGCATTTATCAATGCTGGACGTTTTGCCACCACACCCACATAACATATACATACATATGTATGTATGTATGTTCATACTTCTACATTCCCATGCATACAGACATCCACATATACATACATATACGAGTATGTAGATATGTATATATGTTTATTAGTTCGCTTGCTTTGTAAGCCGAAAGATTTTGATTAACAATCATACATATATACATATGAATATGTATGTATACATATATATGTACATGTACTAGTAAATATACTAATATGTGTTATTATGAATATACCCTTGAAGATATTTCTATTTACATACATATGATAATGCCGGCATCAAATGTAAACAAAGTTTAAATAAGACAAGCTCTAACATCGACTTGTCTGACATAGGTACATACGTATGTATGTATGAATGTAAATATGCCAATGTATGTACAATCAAATTCCGCAGAATATACATGCATAGTATGTATGTGGATATATACGTTGACTTACTTACAATATGCATACGCTGGTAATGTACATACATACATACATACATATGTATATAATGATTATACCTACAAACATACATACATACATAGGTATGTATATATGTATGTATGTAAATACATATGCATGTTTGCAGTTACTGTGCTATCAAATTACACCAATTCAACAGCATAATGTATATATGTATATGTACATACACACATACTGCAAGTACAGCTATTATATGCATACAATACATATGTACATAGGTGCATGCACATTATGTATATTATGTATATGTATATGTGCATGTACATACATATATGTATGTACATACATACATATGTAGCTGTAATGCAGACCTAGACTCCGGCCCATTCTTGTTGCAGTGTATAAAGCTAACGCGTAAGAACTTTTAAACGAAACAGATTAACTGATTTCTCAAATATTAAGATAACTTGTGAAGCGGCAAAATGTTGATCCGCTGGAAAAGTAAAGATAAAAGTGCATCAACTAATCAGAGCGGCAATGCAAGTAGCAGCTCATCATCGAAGAAGAAGCGCAAGGGACGGGAAGGAGGTAAGCAAAACGAATATCAAAATCATACATATGTATGTATGTATGTATGTATGTACCTACACTCTTTGCCATTGTGTGTACTACACACTGTGATGGCATACAATCTGAGCAACATACATAGTATCTGGCAAACTAACGGATAGTCTGCACATACAAACGGACATTCGTATGTTTGTGCAAGCTAGAGCTAAATGAATACATATGTATGTGTGCATGTACAAATAGTCTAATTGGAACCAATCTGAGCTATCGATACTATCGATATGTAAGGCGCTCGATTGATAATTATATTCCTTGGCAATTATTTTTTTCAGAAGAAGACTGGCAAAATGAAAATAAACCGGCTCGCCTGCAAAGTAACGAGCAGGGTAAGAATCATCAATTGCTTATATGTATGTGTATTTATGTACATATATATTCACTTTTATGTTTCCTTAAAGGCGACGAGCGTAGACGCGCAATGCGACGCGATGATCCGCGAAGACACACACTCGGTGGTGACATTCTGGTCTACGGCAGCTCACAGCATCCGCATCCGCATCAAATGGCGCAGCAACAGCAGCGAGCCATGGATCTGGAAGTAAGCCTAGGGCAGCATTATCAATATCAGCACCCAACAAGGGATTCGCTCTTTTATTACAGATGAGCACACGAGCGCAGAAGAATAAGAAAAATCAACCGATGCGCGGTTATGCACCCGTTAATCAAGGCCCATTGTTCGATGACGATCCTGGCATTATGTCCGAGGTGGAAACAGCCAGCACTGGGTTTCGACGAGGCGGCAAACAGCGCTCTTCGTTGCCAGTGGTGCGTACGCCCTCAAAGACGCTCGAGCGACCGCTTGGGCTGGTCTTCTTGCAATATCGCTCAGAGACCAAGCGGGCGTTGCTTCCAAATGAGATCACCTCGATAGATACGGTGCGTGCGTTGTTCGTGCGCTCGTTTCCTCGTCAGCTGACAATGTCATACTTGGAAGGACCCAACGTCAAGATCTACATACACGATGCCAGCAAGGACATGTTCTATGAGCTGGAAGACGTGCGTTCTCATCTGCGCGAGATACGCGACCGCTCCGTCTTACGTCTGTTTGAATCAACAGAGGTAGCCGCACCTCCACAGATTCTCCCTGGTGGTCCGGGCATACCACAGCCCTTACCACAAGCACCTTCAAGCTGGGATCAGGATCAGAGTTATTTCAGCGAGCCCGAGTTCGATTCGGATTTCAAGCATCAGCACATCCACAAATCGAAGGTAAGACATTGATGGACCCAATCCACTTGGATACTGGCTATGTTTTTATTTATTTTGTTGCTTTAAAATTATTTCAACACCCACAATTAATATCTGTTTAGATATTTATATAAATATGTGCATATGTACATAGAGGTGAGAGGGTCTGCTACGATACGTTATTCAAGCCTGGGTATCCAGCCATTTATACTTATACCTATATACACTTACATATATTCAAGTACATTCAATGCAAAAAAAAAAAAAAAAACAACAAAATCAAACAAAATAATATATGTATGTATGCATAATAAGCGTTATTTGCAGCACCCTGTTTAAGAGTATATTTTGCGGGATATTGACAGGATTAACTGCTGACTGAGTGGGTGATTGGGAGGCAGGTATTAGAAATTTCCACAGTTGCCCACACTGAGGCCTTTGAGCGTGTTGTTCATGTGCTCCTTGACGTCCTTCCAGGCAAAGACAATGGCGCCTTGGAAAGGCTCCGGGTCACAGTTGCTGCAGATGCCCATGACGGCCTTGACCTCCTCCTCGGCCGGCTCTCGATCGTGTGTGCTGATCTCCTCCTCGAGAGTCATCTTCAGCGTCAGATCCTGTTTGAATTGCTGCCCACCAAAGTCGGCCAGACCATTGTACTTACTGAAAACCTCGCTGTTGTCATCCAGTTGGCCATCATCAACCAGGGATCCGTCGGCGAGCAAGACCAAACCCCGCTTTTGCACCTTTCGCTCCTGTGGTGCTTCGCGCTTAAATTGTATATGTGTCTCTGTCTCATCTATGAACTGTACATTGGCTGAGTTGCTGAGCATCTGGAAACGTCCCGATGTCGGTTTATTCGAAGCTGTGGGTATCCCACGAGGAATGGGCGATAGACCTAGTAGCTGCTGTGCCACCAAACGAGAGCCAGCATTTATTTGGCCATTAACAAAGTTTGTGTTCACTGTAATCGCTTGGTCAGCCACTCCGTTTGGTGGATTCTGTGTGGGCATTGCGTTGGCTAGATTGATGCGGACTCTCGTTGGAATTTGTCCGCTTGCCAGCAGGGAGTGCATCGGTTGTGGTCGATTTATCTGAGTTTGTCCATAAATATTAATATTAGCTGTAGAATCTCTTTTAGCATACGAACCATTGGAGGAGCACGTGTTGTGCTGGGCAGCTCCTGACCCTCGTGATCAAAGTGGTGCACATGATGATGTTTGTGGTCTCGATGTGCCTTGCCCGCGCTCAAAGCCACGCGATAAATTTGCACTAGCGTTACCTCAAAGTGGAGGCCATGACTTACTTGCCCAGTTATTGAACTGCCGCCCGATCGCAGTTTCCCCTTAGCGGGTATTTTATGGCCGACCAGCTGTAAAATTCGATATCGGAGTTATAAATTGCAAAACAAATTCAACCAGGCGTATTGTACCAAGTCGGGCGCGATGTCGACTAGCAAATACCCTGGGCCCCTGTCGAGCTGCTGGTTCAGACATACTGCATACAAAATATTGCGACGAGTAAACTTGACTCAAATCTATATTTTTGCATCCAAAAGTGATCAAGCTCAAAGATCTATTATCACTATTGGACAAACAGAGCCACGTTAGAAGATTGATTCGTGGACAAAACTAATATACCAAGAATTCGCACTCCAATGAGTAAAGTAGAGTAGGACTTATGAGCGATTATAGACTGCTGTGGCAAACTGATATTCATTATTTGCTGCAACAGCTGCAAGTCAGTTTGGTCTAGTTAGTCTCTTGGATTGGCTATCGTTTTCGTTCCGTCCCATCGAGCTTGGGTAATTGGAGATTACTTACCGAATTATGGAATCCACGTCCAATGCGCTCTGCTTTCAGCCAGACCTGCCACTCGCCGGTCTTTCCATTCCACGAGCTGCACATGTGATGCCATTGCCGCATACGCAGCGGATAGTTCAATCTGCATTCCAAAATTAAGTCATGGTTCATATGTTGTCCGATATTTCGCTATATATGTATATATGCGTGTGTATATACAATATATACATTGATTAGGAACAACGTACCTATACATTTGCTGACCTTTTATGGCCATCGATAGGAAACTGGAATTTTGCGCGTTCGCGACCCAGATTTGTATTTCGCGTGGTTCCTTTTCGACTGTAGAAGTGGAGACTGAGTTAATTTGAGAAATAAAAATGTCGGTGGCTGTTATGAAATCAGAGCAAATTGCGTGATGCTGAATTGCAATCGGCAAACCAGCCAGCCAGCCAACCAACAAACTATGCTGCCTAATGGAATGTTATCCAAAAAGTGAAAGATACTTTATCTATGCAATGCTACCAATGATACCAGTACTACCAATTTAAGTTTCCTTCTTAAACCATACTACGATATTATTCTTTATATTGTAATGATCTAGTATGAGGAGCAGACCACTGACCCTTTCAATATTGTATTGAGGGTAGAGGATACACGCATTGAATTTCTCTCACCTATTAATACTTCAAATTTAAGAAACTGATACGTATGGTATGGCCCTCTTCACCTGTCTGCTATTACCCTTTCTCTCTCAACAATACAATCAACAACTGTCTCTTTGAGTCTATAAAAAAATATACATGTAACCTACTCCATAAAAATTTAATAAGCATGCCATGCTGCGGGCTGGGGTAAATGCATACATATATGTATATCCACTGGTCGGTCGGCTATGATGCCAGTGAGAGAGTAACAGCGGGAAATCTACCGAAAATCCTGTTAAACATAATAGCTGCATATGTAATATCTATTTGCTGAGAGCAGCCGTCTACCAGTTTAGTTGGCTTTCCATTGCAAAATTGTGTTTGGAGATGACGCGTTGCGAGGGATGAGGTGTTGTCCCGAGGGTCAAGACGGCATCGCTCAATTTCTCAGTTACTCCGGAAGCTTTTCACGCAGCTCACGTTGCACATTTAAAATAATCGCAAGCAGTTAAAATAACAAAAGCAGCAGCAGCCGCAACAACAACAGCAGCAGCGCACTGCAAACAGGTAAATTTAACGCTTACGTAATACGGTCTCCAGTCAGTGAGACAGTTGAAAGTGCTTAAGATAATAGACGCAGAGTGTAAAAACTCTCTTCCTATAGTATGGTAAACTCAACTATACCAGACCTCCTTTTCTTTTGTAACATTCTTGCTGCTTGTAGACTTACAATATAGGCAGGTTGATACGCACATATAAAATGTAGACTAATGGGAAAAAGTTTTAAAGTTGGATCTTACAGAGAATCGGAAATACCAAGCCAAAAATCTAGTTTAATCGAAATGACGAAAATGGTTTTATATGTTGATCATATATATGTCGTAAAGACAGAATACATGTCAAGTTGTCTTATTGATCAGTGAAATATATAGTAAACGGTTTGCCGACAGATATTTAGAAACCAATCAATACCCTGTTTTCGATTTGTCCTAGGGTATAATAATAAATTAAATTATCGCATAATCACGGCTAACAATGTTGACCATCAAACAGTTGTTAAGCCCCGTCATCATGCATTCATCTCATCTGTCAATTTCACATCAACATCACAAAACCCCGCAACATCAACAACATCAACAACATGAACAACATCAACAACAACAACAACAATATTTAGATCAGGAAGCTGAATCCCTTTCACTTTTTGGGGCCATTATTCGACCCACAATTTTTGTTGGTCACAGGTCTGGCAGCTAACGTCTTTTGTGCTGGTCGTTTCGCTGGCTAAAGCGGCCCGCATTATGTAAAAGGTCGGCGATGATTTTGATTGTGTTTATGATTAAAGAAAGTATCTGCAAAAGTCTTGCCTTCATTTTCATATACAAAGTGATGTAAGCAACGAGACAATAGTCGCTGTGCTTGATGAATTACATGAATTAGCCTCGTACTCACCTTCGTAGGTCAACATGACATGATCGCCGCTGTGGTTGGTAAAACGCATCCAGAAACATAGCGTAAACTGATCCAGCTCGGGCAACTCGTTATCATACTCCACTGCCCCGTCTTGATTGAATGCAAACTTCTTGACGCTGCAGCGATCGGAAGCATAGATATCAGAGCGCGGAAAACTTATAGTGGGCTCTTCAATAACATCATCTTTCAAGCCATATGACTTGTAGTGATTATCGTGATCGTCAATTAATGTAATGGGATGCGGGGACTCAACTCCATTTATTACAGCAGCTCGCGTTAAAAGTAGATCGTCTTCCTCCTTCGAGTCGCCAAATTGGGCATAACTGGTGGCCAGCTCGTGGCTGCTGCTCGCCTCGCCAGGATGAGATTGCTTTAAGCTGTAGGATGTTATGGGGCTGCCCCCTGACGCGATGGGCTTCCATCCGAGGGAGCTGTCGACGTGAACGAGAAGAAGAAACGCACTGAGCACTAAGCTCGCGCCCCAGCCTGTTTGCCAAAACATTTTACCGGAATATTATGTTTTTGGACTTTTGTCTTTGGCCTTTTTATTTTGTAATTGAAATGGAAGCGATTGTACGTCCGTCTGCGACGCTGTCTCGCACTTTACTAGTCGGCTACGCATGCTCCAACGCTGTGTCGACCGTAGTCAAAAAGAAGAAGAAAACATAAAAAGCCAAACCGCATACACCGAGCCCGTCACCACGCACAGTGGAGTTAGAAACAAATTTTGTATGGAAATATAAAGGTTGAGAGTGCATGACTATAATTTTTTTTTTTTAATTATTTAAAGAAAATCTTTTTCAAATTTTTTTTAATCGTAATGGATATCAAAACTTCAATGAACGCAACATTTATTCCCACTTCTATGCGAGAATGTGAGGGACAAAGACTTTAAAAATTGACAGCATTTGCATTTACAGTATAATATACTCTAGCTGCCTGTTCTATTTCTTTCACTGTAGAACAATTGGTTGGTATGATTTTGCCACGGCTTATGAGCCGTGGTCCCACTGTGCGCTGGTTGTATGAGTACGTCCGTCGGCCAGTTGTAACAAATGGTAAAATTGTATTGAAATTGAAACTGGTTGGGATTTTGTAATACCCTGCGTTACTGTGAAATGGGTATGCAAGATCTCGGGGGCACAGACTATTCCGAAGCTGTCCTTAAGACACTTTTGGACTTTAAGCTTGGCTCTACATTAATGTGTTTACTAGGATCCGAGTTTTGTTGTTGGGAAAACAAAAGGCGCTACAAATATAGCAGAATACTGTAAAACTATTATAACTGCTGCAGGCCATGCTGGCCGGGCATACTCGAGCTGAGCACTCTCACCTGTTTTCTTTTTGTGCGCTGTAAAGCCAATCTTTTCATTTCAATGCAACAGCGCTACACATTTATGTGTATGTATGTATTTAAGCTAAGCATTACTATCTGCTAGGCACCGACATAGTCAAAGCTTCCTCTTTGCCTAACCCTAGTCGCCGAGACAGTCGAATGCGAAAGTATATACATATGTACATGTATGTACATACATGTTTAAATATATGTATATGCTTATAGCAATAATATATGCATTTATACATACTTCTGAACTAACTGTCTTCACTTTGTCTGTGTTAGCTGCACATCATTAATAAATCAGTCAACATTCCAGTGGCAACTATTGTGTAATGTACAAATAAGAGTAATAGATCTGCCGATCAGAAATCGCTTCTAACCGATGGAAAGAATTAATGACTGACTATATGCAGAATGAATATGTTCAGAAATTTGTATTTAACCTTTTGATACAAATTTAGGTATGAAATGAAAGTTCATGTGTAGTCTCCCATCGATTTGACAATTCTTGAAGAATACCCAATCCTAATTGAGTCTAACTACATGGCTAAAATAGAGACTGATGAAACAGCTACTAGTTATAGTTTTTTTTATATGTACGTATGTATATACATGTATGTGTGTCTTATCAGAACGAATATAGATGTTATATGTGTCTGAGAAAGTGAAAGCCTTTTTAGTTTCTACACGCGAAAATAATTGGCAAACAGTTTGATTACCTGGGTGTGTACTACAACATTTGTGAATCGCTTTTTCGTTTCGCGATTTGTTGGCCCAGCCCCCCGGGGCTTCCAGCTATCAACTGAGTATCACAGTTGACTTCAAGCAATCCATTATTATTGTATTCGCATATTGCAAAAAAAAAAAAAAAAAAAATAAAAACAAAAAAAAAAATATACATATATATACATAATATTATTGTTATTATTATTATTAATAGTAATCAATGCATTAAATTATATGAAATTGTTTTAGATTGGTAAACAGCCAGCTCCGTATTATGTGGGCTCGTCGCAGACCTTGCCACGTGGGATGTACGGATCAGATCGTAACAAAATTTCAATGGGTAAGTAATGCTTGAGCATGGCTTATTACCCATCTCCTTTTCATTCATATTTTGAGAACCTAGTACATAACTTAAACCTTGGTAAAGTCAAACTAACATAAACATATGTGCGATTGTTGAAAAAAAAACTCCGTATGTAATGGTGTTATGTATTTTTGAATTACATAAATAGGACATATAACCAAGAGTGTTTTGTATTTGTCAAATGCACCTACACAGAAATCTGATGTCTATATCTATAGTTCTAACAATATTCAATTTTTTTTTTTCAATTTTTATACTCATTCACGAAGTGAATTAGTATATTGGTTTTGTGCAATGTCCGTC